CCCTAAGCCTTAAACCCTAAACGTTAAACCGTGGCTCTTCCCACGACTCTGGAGACGAAGCTGGAGATCGCGAAACCCTCGACCCCATGAGCCCTAAATGCTCCAAACGGCCCGAAACCCGTCAGGGGGAGGCCTTGGAGTAGGGTTTAGGGTTTAGGGTTTAGGGTTTAGGGTTTAGGGTTTAGGGTTTAGGGTTTAGGGTTTAGGGTTTAGGGTTTAGGGTCAGGGGAGGCCTTGGAGTAGTGGTCCAGGAAGTGTATAGGGTGGTAATTTTGGGGGATTCGGTTTGGGGTTTAGGGTTTTGAATTTTCAAAGGGGGCTGTAACTGACTGTAGTTCAGGTTTCGATGCATGCGGGTTCTTTGGTATCGTGCGAGAAAAGTGCAGGCATCCAAACCCGAAGCCTCGAAAGCAACAAGTTGAACCTTGGGCCCTCAACACCTGGTCAACCTACAACCGTCTTTGGGCCAACACCTATGTAGAAGGATCTGTCCTAACGCCTCAGCACAAACCCCGACACCCCGAACACCTATAGCGGCAGGACCAGTGGACCACTTTGATGTTCTTCTGTGAGGTGGACAAGGGACGAGGCTGATCTCGTCTCAAGGGATGCCGGGTCCGGAGACAGCGGAGGAGTTTGCGATTTCAGGGTTCAGGCTTCATGTCGTCTTCAGCGTTTCGGGTTCAAGCTTGTTTAAGATTCAAGTGGTTTCTGTAATCTGTCAGTTGATACCTGGGACTCACATGTTTTTTGATGAATGGATTGAAGCTCTGTTCAGATGATGCACGTCAAGAGATGGTTTGTAAAGGTTTAGGGTTTAGGGGTTTAGGGTTTAGGGTTTAGGGTTTGGGGGGTTGTGCGTGGGACACATTTGGCTGTCAAGCACCAGCCGTTCGCCTCTTGCAACGCGTTTGTCCACAGCGAGCACCCCCTCCCCTCGTGGTCGTGCCCTAGCTGACGCCAGCAAGGAGTCCCAGAACTGGAGCCTTGAAAACCAAACCGAAACATTCCAAAGCAGCTGGGGGTTTAGGGTTTAGGGTTTAGGGTTTTGGGGTCTAGGGTCTAGGATCAACCCCCAAAGTCCAGGCTGGAAGGACTAAGGCCTAAAACCCTAAACCCTAAACCCTAAACCCCAAGCCCTAAACCGAAACGGATTCCTGCAGGGCGCGACAAGGCTTTCGAAAAGCTGGCAATTTTTGGCCGGGTGCCGAAGCGCTTTTCAGGGTTCCTATAGGGGTCCTAGAAGGCTTTCAAGAGGGGGTTATGCAGGTTCAAAGGGGGTTTAGGGATGCTTCGGAGTTCAAGGGAATTGGCAAGCCTGGTGTCAAGACTTTACTTCGGGGCATAAGTAAGTGTAAGTGTAGTTACCTGAATTAGAACGTTGTTGCCCTAGTTGCCAAGTCTCATCTGAAAGGATGCTATGTTGAGAAGCTCACGCCTTAGGTCAAGTTCCGAAACATTTACAGTAGCCTGGATCGAGTGGGTCTGGGATCTGGAAGACTACAAACCCTCAGTACGACCCGAAGAGGGGTAAGATGATAGCGGCTCAGGACTTAGTCAAAGCCTGGCTGAAGCTAGAGTCTAAGGGTAATGGGATTAAGGGTCCCTATTAGGGGTCCCTCTTAAAGTCCTTAGATGGAGGGCTCCCGGCGGGCTGCAAAACAGGGCGCGAAACCCAACGAGGTCCTCGACGATCGCTTCAAGCTTTGCTCCGAGGTGAGGGACTACTTTTACTGAAGTGAAGACGGACACGTTGTGTTCCGACCGATGCGCAGATGTCCTCAGAGGAGCAGCCCCACACACAACCTCCTTCATGTACTGAACGGCCTCTCTTGAATGGATATCCGTCCCAAGCTGAAGCAGCTCCAACCTTTGTTTTGGGGAGCAAGGGTTTTCTCCCACATGCGGTTTTCCTGCATCCGTGTATAACTGACCTATTACAAGTCTGTATTCCTCTTGTGCAGTTAACCTTCAGTACTGTTCCTGATTCTTCCAGTGACTTCTGCATACACCCGTATACCCATATGGTAAACTGTAAGCTGTAAACCCTTGCAGTTAGTTTAGAAACCACAAGGGGTTGGAAGCCTTGACCATAGGTACAGTTGCACAACTCTCAGGTATGGAACAAGGTTTATAGTTGGTTGTTGGTGAGTCATAGGGCTCCTTTGTAAGATTGGCGGGTGGATGTTTGGGAGACTCCTTTCGGATGCTCGGAGTAAAAAAACACGCGGTTCCTACGCTGGGCGTTCCATGCGTATCTATACATGTGTATATATATATATATACGCATGTATTTTTTTATCTCTTCATGGATCTAGTTTTATGGAATTTGATGTACATACATACATACATACATACATACATACATACATACGACCACTGTGAAATTGGATCTCGAAAGACCATCCATTCCTATTGTATGCACCCATGTGGATAAGATTTGTTAGTATTAGGCTTCGTATAGGAAGCCCCATCCGAAAGGCTACCCACCGACCCACATGCGACGTCGTAGTTTCTTGCACGCGCAAACCACCCAATCCCTGCAGCTGTGGCCAATACGGTGCAGAAGAGCTACTACAGGAGAATCATAATGCATACCTGTCATCCTTAACTTGATAGAACACACGGTCATTAATCATACCATACTCATGCTTAACGACCCCGAACTAAACGGCCCAACCCTGCTCGCCCTAATTACCCCGAAGAGACAAGATGACAAGATTCGCCGTTCTTTACATAGGCCTCTGCCCGAACAGCCGGAGAAAAGGGCTTTAAGTCCAAATCCAGGCCCGGCATTGAAATATCTACAAACCCTAAGCCCTAGACCCTAAATAACCCTAAATACTCTCGATCCGCAAGCGCCTCATTTTTCGGTGACGCCGTCGAGTGGGTAGCCTCCGAGCCTTTGGGGCCCCCTAAGGGAAAATGTACCTGCTCTCTCCATTGCAGTTCACAGTTTAGTTATAGGGTTCCTTGTTGGAGTACTTCATAAGCTCCTACATCTAACTGGTACAACATTGGTTAAACCCAAACCTTGAGAACACTCTGCAGCCTGCAGAGACGCAGCCGAGGCAGCATCCGCGCCAGGCGTGGTGCAGAGCTGCTCGTGCTCAGCGCTGTTGAGACGAAGGCTCGGCTTCTGAGTCCTGCTGAGAGTTGGGAGGGTTTAGGGTTTAGGATTGAGAGCTCCTAAACAGAACTTCAGGGTTTAGGGTTTAGGGTTGAGAGCTCCTAAACGGAACTTCGGGGGTTTAGGGTTTGGGGTTTCGGTGGGGCGTACATGTAACCCCAATCCCAAACCCTACACCCTAAACCCTAAACCCTAAACCCTAAACCCCTAAACCCCTAAACCCCTAAACCCTAAACCCTAAAACCCTTATGACCCCAATCCCAAACCCGACAGTCTAGTAGGTTAAGTGTGACCCCAGATCTGCAGGGTTTCGCTCGGGTTTTGGTTGTAGGGTTTAGGGTTTAGGGATAGGGGGTGTTGGTTGTGGGGTGTGGGTTTGAGGGTTGAAGAGCTGCGGTCGGGGTTGGGGGCTTTTGGACTTTTGGGTCGTTTTTTTTTGTAGTTTAGGGCTTGGCGATGCTATGCGTTAAGGTTCTAGGATTATCAAAGGCTTCGGAAGTTTAGGCTTTCAAGGTAGGCGGGGTTAGCAAACCCGGATGCTATGGAAACTATCTTACGTGGCAGTTGATAGATATACCCTAAACCCTTAACCCCAAACCGTTACAAACTATAAATGGATGCAGGCAGCAGGCAGGGTTGTTGCAGCTTGCGCTTCCAGAGTTTTTGATGATGTAGGGTTTGGTTTAGGATCTAGGGTTTTGGGGTTTAGGGTTTAGGGTTATTTAGGGTCACGAGTTTGTGCTCAAGACTTTGGAGGGGTGTCGATAGACCCTTTTGGGGGTTTTAAAGGCACCTTGTACCTTATGACGGCCCATGTATGGTAGGGGCGTTTTGCAGCCTTTAAGTCCTAAATCTCAGAGACTTAATGTTTACATGGGACTCCACGAGGCTGGAAAGCGTCAGCAGTCTTGTAAAGAAGATGAGTGGAGTTTCGCTCCTGAAGCTTTTCCAGATTATGCACTGTAGTTCAAAAACATTGGGTTTGTTCTACCCAACCAACCCCGAAACCCTTTTCAAGAAGGAATATAATCTTTATAGGGAACCTTCTTGGCATTGACGTATGTTTTGGCATTGACGTATATTGCCTAATCTTTGGGTAGGGTTGGTGTCCAGGGCACTTGGGGGAAGCGTTGCGATTTCCGAGATGTTCTGACCCCATCGCTTGTCAGCATTGCTGTTGTAGCGGCCTTGACTTGCTTCCCTGCTTCCCTTGTTCACCATGTGGCCAAACCGCCAACCAGTAAGTACAATACTTCTGTTCAATGATGCTAACATGTTCGAATCGTTTAGGACAGGAATCTGCGCGTGACGATCAAGGCAGAAAGACGAAAGACGCGCCGGACAAAAGACCAAACAGCAGTCACAAGGAAAGTCCAGGGTCCTGCTTCACATCGCCGGGGTCCCTTCTGTATCGTGAGCTCGAGTTGGCGGCAACCTTGAAGCCCAAAACCCCTAAACCCCTAAACCCCAAACCCCTGTTGCCCAAAACCCCAAAACAATACAAGCCTTGAGCCCGCTGAAACTCCAACATGCTTGCAGACTTTTAGGGTTTAGGGGTTCAGGGTTTACGGTTTAGGAGTTTAGGGGTTTAGGGTTTAGGGTTTAGGGTTTAGGGTTTAGGGTTTAGGGTTTAGGTTAAGGAGTTTAGGGTTTAGGGGTTTAGGGTTTCGGGTTCAGGGTTTAAAGTTTAGGAGTTTAGGGGTTTAGGGTTTAGGGTGTTTCTCCGTCATTACGCAGAAAGCGATCAAACGGCCCACGCATTAAAGTAAGAATGAGAACTCTGTGACTGTAATGCGGCAATAATGACTGAAGAACCCCAAGAGGGTTTGACATAAGAGTTTCTTTGTCTCTTCCTGCAAGGGCTTTTGTGCCGCGCACACCAAAGCTCCCAGGTCCCAACTTTTAAAGGCCTAAAAGTATTGAAACCCTAAGCTCTCGGCCATCCCAAACCCCCCACCAAAACTCATTTCTTAGGGTTGAGGATTTATAGAGTTTAGGGTTTAGGGTTTAGGGTTGAGGATTTATAGAGTTTTAGAGTTCAGACCAAATCCGTACAGCAACCTTCGAGACGCGGTCCCCCGTAGCCCGAAGTCGCTTTCCCCGCGATTTGCACCAGGTCCCGGGCTACTTTGCGGCTTGGCTGGCGTGGGGGGTTTGGCATGCTTAAGAGCTTCCGGGCTTTGAGCGTTGACAAGCGTGTACTCATAGGCTCCGATCGTAGGAGCAAGGGTACCTTTTTGATTGCGGGGCAAGAGGGGAGCCGAACCTTCCTCTAGCTTGCATGTCTGAGGGCAGCATCAAGGACGAGGTCTTGGACCGTGATCGCCACCGTGATGTCACTCGGCTCGACATCGATTGGGAATTGAATTATTCCTTCTAGACACGAAAACTTGAACCACAATTTTGAACTTGGATGTTGGGTGCAAATGATTTCCGGATTTGAGTTTCGGAGCGTATCTTGTTACTTGATGCAAGATGCGATGTCTTCTAGTTGAGGGGTTATTCCCCACTCGTCTATCGGGTTCGGGCTGGCCGAAATGAGCTTCGCTGCATTTCGGAACCGCAACAGGGCTGGCGGCTTGGACTGTCCTTGAGCCCGCAACACCTGACACCTGCACTCTAAAGCCTAATGTAGGGGATTATAATTATAATTATAGTATAATGATCCCCAAAACCCTGTTCTGCTTATTCAGGCCCCTATATGGCCCTACGTATAATATCCAGAATCCAATGAGCAGCCTGTTGTGTTCAGCCTTGGCTGTGTAGGGACTGTTGAAACTATTGGTGTGGCTGCCGGGTTTTGAGGTGGACCGGTTACCAGGCCCTGGCAACAGAAGGGTCCGCCGCCAGAGATATTCAGGGCTGCAACCCCTAAACCCTAAACCCCAAACAGCAACAGGAATGATTTCATGCTGACTTCAGAAGCTTGTGCGGGGCTGAACCAAAGATGAGTTTCTACGGTACCATTTCGCACCAAAGCCAGCGCCTGCCTTCGCTGAGAGCATCGACAAGAGCGGGCTCGAACAACTAGTTACACCAATAGTGGACTTTGCCCAAAATCGATTCTGAAAATCAGAAAGTCCACTTTAAAATACAGTCCAATCATGAGGCTGCAATTTCATGCAGCACACGCGGGGGGCCGCCGAAAGGGCGACGTTGGAGGTTTGGGCTGGAATCTCTAGGGGCTTGAAGGTGGGTGGGATGACGGACCTCTCATCTAAAATGCCTTCCGCAAACCTTATCCGACATTGGGCGTCCTGTCAAACTGTGCTTACATCCTGTGCCTCAAGTCTTGCATATATGCATACTAAACCCTACACCCTAAACCCTAAACTGTAGACCACGATATACTCACAAAAAACCGCTGCTCTGGTTGGTATAGCCTGGCCCCCGATTTAAACACTCTATTCGTAACCCCTACAGTCACCCTTCTAGACTCCGCGGAGCGCTTACAGGAACCCTACAGTATATTGCAACTATGCCCTGAACTCTGAGACCTATGCGCACCCTAAACCCTACCCTAAGGGTCCATGTGCCCAAGTTGCATATACTTTGGCCTCAAAGTCGTCCCTATTTAGGTACTTTGGGGCCAAAGTATATACTATTTCGGCACATGGACCCTTAGAGCTAAATCCTATTTGGTAGCCCTTAGAGATCCCTTCGCAAAGGAACGCCTAAAGGAACCCTACCCAAACAAAGCCCCCAAAAACCCTGAACCAACGAGCCATCTGTGAGGAAACCCAAACCTGGTCCACCGACACCATGCAATTCCAGGCGCTTTCGGAGGGTTTCTAGGGTTTTGGTGGGGTGTTTAGTGTTTTCGGGTTTCGGGGCTTTAGTCGAGTAGGATTCCTGTAAGGGCTTCTGTTTAAAAGTCTCTAAGGGTTACAATGTAGGGTTTAGAGTTTAAGGTTTTTAGGGTTAGGGTATGGTAAGTGCTATTTTTGCAGGGCTCAGGGTTTATAAGCACTATAGGATTTGGGGTTCTGATTCGGCAAGTTGTTGATCCGGACGTTACTTGTAACCCCAAGTCCTACAGCATGGCATGGTAGGTTCTGACTCCTTGACTAGAAAGTAACCCTAAACCCCAAAGCCCGCATGATAGTAGGAAATTGGAGCCGCAGGCAAACGCTAAGCCCTTCCGAAACACGAACCTTCTAGGATCCTCGTAGATCCTTTTTCTTGGAAGCCAGCACCCAATATCTTGAAGTACCAGTAGGATATAGGGCTTAGGTTTGGGGTTTAGGGCTTTAAATACACATTGTTGAGTATAGAATTGCAACATGATGCCCTAAACCCTAAAGCCCAAATCCCAACACCAAGCTTTCAGGACGACGAGCTCTCCTATGCCCTCGGCAACTGGACGGACTGACGTGAGAATTCTTCGGACTCCAGGGTCTGTGGATTAGGGTTTGGGGTTCCGTGAGGGTTCCAGCTCCAGGGGTAAAGGTTAAGGGCCGGTTTAGGGTTTAGGGTTTACGGTTTTGGGTTTAGGGATCTACGTCTAAGGCTCCATTGTAGTTCCTTTTTTGGGGGTTACCTTATGGGATTTTAACTACAGAATTGATTAAACCAAAAAGAAAGAGGAATTACAATGGATACTATAGGTAGGACTCAGGATTCAGGTGTTCAGGAGGTTTGTGGCTTAGGATCTGGGTCAAGGCTTGTTTTGGGATGTTTTGGGCATTTGCGGACCTAGGGTTTGGGGTGTTTGGGTGTAGGATAGAGGCTTATATAACCCTAAGCCCTAAACCGCACCCTAAACCCCTAAACCCCTAAAGCCAAAAAGCCCTAAACCAAACCCCTAAACCCCTAAAGCCCTAAACCCTAAACTCTCCTTTACTTTGGAGTTCTGTTTTCTGGCCGATGTGTGTTGTGGGGGGTACTTCGCAGTTGAAACTTGAAGGCTCGAGACCTTAGAGTTCTTAAGCTTTACGGTTTATGTTTTAGGGGTTTAGGCTGTAGGGGTTGGGCTTTAGGCTTTAGGCTTTAGGCTTTAGGCTTTAGGGTTTGGGGTTTGGGGTTTGGGTTTTAGGGTTTAGGGTTTAGGGTTTAGGGTCTAGGGTTGGGAGGATGGCAGTTGGTGATTGTCGGGAGGGACGTGGCCGGGATCATTGTATGTGGGCCGCAGGTGAAACTAATGTGGGATTGATAGGGGTTGATGTTTTCGGCACCTTGGCGATCATAGCTAACAAAGCCCATCATGCTGTGCTATGAGCCACACTGTTGTGTGGTTCCGGCCAGTAGGTTGCCCGGTTTTTCTTGTGTTGACCTCCCACTGTGTGGTCCCATGTAACTACCGTAGCCAGCAGTAGGATTTAGGATTCTTGAGTTTGCAATTTCAGTCAGGGGCTTGGGGTATACGAGAAACATTTGCAGAGCGTTGCTCCTTCGAGCCCCAGATGAGCACATGCAGGACAACCAGATGCACAAGCCCAACTCTCGAGACTCCCCTTATGCAGCCTTAGTAAGGCCCCGCAGACTCCCACAAGACCTTACAGAACCCTGTAAAGCTGTAAACTAAACCCTAAACCCTAAAACCCTAAACCCTGAACCCTAAACCCTAAACCCTAAACCCTAAAACCCTAAACCCTAAGAGCTTGATGCTCAAGGCAAGCAGGGCGGCACCCGCAAGAAGCTGGAGCGCTCATCAGGCCCGTTGGTGAGGTTTAGGGTTTAGGGTTTAGGGTTTAGTGTTTAGGGTTTAGGGTTTAGGGAGGTTTACGGCTTCAGAGATGCGGGGATTGGGGAAGGGAGTGGAGTCTGACTTTAAGCCGGAATTGAAACTTCACAATTCAAAGGTTTTGAGTTCAGGCATGTGCGGTTCAAAGATCTAGCGATTAAGAGATGTAGCGTTTCGGGATCATTGGCTACCCGTTCCAGGGTTTGAGGCTTCAGCTTCTAGAATTCCTGGATTTAGAAGCAAGGGTGTAGCTTGAAATTAAGTTGGAGACTGAATTATTAGACCCTCACGTTCAAGTACCCACGTAGTACGGGTTTCGGTGCTAGTAGCTCATCCTGCCCAACATCCTCCCGTTAAATACATGGACACTCTATTGATTAAGGCAGGCATGGCTCTCAGTTGGCTGCAAGGGCTAGACACTGCTGCTAGTGCTGCTGGCTACTGCCGTCTAACTGCAACCTCTGGCATTTTGGGAGCCTGATACTCAGACGAAACCCTCAGCCCAAACCTCCGAACACCCCGAGTTCATAGGGTCTCGGCTGCTTGCAGTGGCACGAACGATTCCCCGGAGTATTCGAGGTATAGTTTTGGTAGCAACGGCCGTGGTAACAAGAAGCAGATCCGCAGCGTCACAATTGGAACACAGGCCGGAACGAATGCCGCAAGCAGCATGTGTGCTTCGTTTGAAATCATTGGGTTCAGCTTGGTCGTGCATCCGCGGGCTAAGCACTGTCAATCTCTCCACTTGCCACCAAGCTGGACGGTGCTGGCAGTCTTGCTCGCAGCATGCAAGATGCAGACATGAGCCGAGCAGCGCAACGATATGACGAATTCCACGCTTTGCCTGGAGACCATTTGTAGAAAGGTGCGCATGCTAACTCCTGATGCGTCCAACACCATCTCTCAGCCCTTCATCAGCAAGAAACTCAAGTATTTGATGATCCCAGCACCCTCCATATCCAGACTTTCGTTGACCTCGAATCGTTACGATGCCCTTCGAGCAGCCGCTGCTACAGGTTTTCCATTAGAGTCTTTCCAGGAACTAGCCAGCGACTTCGCCGGGTACTCTCAACCGCCGGGGTGCGTTTCGGATCCTCAAAATCACCCAGAACCCTAAACCCTAAACCCTAAACCCTAAACCCAAAATCACCCAAACCGTGATAAACTCTGAACCCTAAGCCGCACGTGTCGAGACCTCAAGCCCGAGAGTCTGAACCCCTCTGAACTCCAAGCCTCTAAACTGTAAACGACTACAGTATAGGGGTTTAGCCTTTAAGGTTTAAGCGACTACAGTATAGGGGTTTAGGGTTTAAACTTTAAACGGCTACAGTATATATATATATATATGTATATATATATATATATAGAGGTGTTTAGGGTTTAAGCTTTAAGCGACTACAGTATTGGGGTTTAGGGTTTAGGGTAGTTTAGGTTTATAGGGTTCAAAACTACTGCCAGGGGCCGTGGTACAGTATGTTGGGCAGACGGCACTCTTCTCCGGGACGAAGAACGAACGCCGCCGTGCCAAGGACTGCAGTGGTTTAGGGTTTAGGGTTTCCGTTTATGATTCAACTGCACAGGCCTAAACCTAAGCCCTACGGCCCTACGCATTTCTAAACTCCAACCCCCCAAGCCCTAAACCCTAGAGCCCTGAGCTCGAAAACCCTAAACCCCTAAGCCACCTTAAACCCTAAACCCTAAACCCTAAACCCTAAAACCCTAAACCCTAAACCCCAACCGAACTAGGTGTTGATGGGGCTCTTGGGGACTTCGCCAGAGGGCGGAGGCCTCGAGGTGTGTTGGCTTTGAGGTCAAGCGAAGGCGTCGAGAGTCTGT